GGAAGCTGCTAAATGCTGTGCTTCCATCCCAGAGGAGTTGTAAGCAGTAACTATTTCTACACATTTTGGTAGTTTAAAAAAACTGATTTGAGGCCAGGCATGGTGGCTCATGCCTCTTATCCCAGCACTTTGGGAGGCCAAGGCAGGAGGATCATTTGATCCCAGGAGTTTGAGACCAGCCTGGGCAACATAGCAAGACCCTGTATAAAAAATAAAAATAAAAAAAGACATGCATGCCTATTGTCCCAGCTACTTGGGAGGCTAAAGCAGGAAGATCACTTGAGCCTAGGAGTTCAAAGTTACAGTAAGCCATGATTGCACCACTGCACTCCAGCCTGGGTGACAAAAACCCTGTCTCTCTCGCTGTTGCCCAGGCTGGAGTGCAGTGGCACAATCTTGGCTCACTGTAACCTCAGCCTCCTGGGTTCAAGTGATTCTCATGCCTCAGTCTCACTGGTAGCTGGGACTACAGGTTCCTGCCACCATACCTGGCTAATTTTTGTATTTTTAGTAGAGACATGGTTTCACCATGTTGGCCAGGCTTGTCTTAAACTCCTGACCTTGTAATCCGCCTATCTTGGCCTCTCAGTGTGCTGGGATTACAGGCATGAGCCACTGGGCCTGGCCTTTTTTGTTTATTTTTTTTCTTTCCCAGGTGGCACTGAAGGAATTTATTTTTTGGTGGGTTTTTTTTTCCTTTTTTGTTTTTAATGGATAAAGTCTCAGTCAGTGACCCAGGCTAGAGTACAGTGCTGCAATCTCAGCTCCCTGCAACCTCCACGTCATGGGCTCATGCACTTCTTTTGCCTCAGCCCTGGAGTAGCTCATGTGACAGGCAGGCACACACTATCACACCTGGCTACTTTTTGTATATTTTCTAGAGATGGGGTTTTGCCATGTTGCCCAGGTTGGTCTCAAACTCCTCAGCTTAAGCAGTCCACCTGTCTTGGCCTCGCAAAGTGCTGGGATTACAGGCGTGAGCCACTGCGCCTGGTCTCAAGTTACTTACCTTTTAAGGAATATGCAGTCTTGAAACATTCTCAGTCCTGAACTTAATCCCCAGGCACCAGAGTTTTCTGGTCTAGGCCCTTCCACCACATTTGGAACCTGTTGGCCCTGTAGCAACCCTCACTTGCTTTCCCTGAGAGCCATAAGGTGAGCCCAGGGACTGCTGGTAGAGACATCCATCTCCTTGCCCTTCTCTCTACAGCCTCTCACTTTGGCTGCTTTGCCATCATGAGGAAGGAAACATAAAAGCTACTTTTTGGTATTACAAAGTTAAAAAAAAAAATCACATGGATGAGGCAGAAGCCTTGGGTAAGGCATTCTACATCCTTTATTTGTGAGATGGATATAGTTTTCGGATTTCTTTATATTTCTGATTTACAAATATATACTAAAAGTCATACAGAGGGCTGGGCGAGGTGGCTCACAACTGTAATCACAGTGCTTTGTAAGGCTGATAAGGGAGGATCGCTTGAGCCTAGGAGTCTCAAGATCAGCCTGTGCAACATAGCAGGACCATCCCTGTCTCTACAAAAAAGAAAAAAAAAAGTCTATCAAAGATACAAAAGTGAAGTCATGTGGTTGGGTGTCAGATCGATGGTCCTGGGGAATGGACTGGCTCACCCTGACACCAGGCCCAACCTGCCCTTCAGGAATGTGTGTCCTCATACAGACAGATCTACGTGTCACTGATGTTGCGGTGAAGAAGCAGTGGCATTTAAAGATGGAGAAATTCAATGCCAGTTAGGGCTTTGTGTCTGAAAGGCATAAGCCTCCGTTCTGTGGCCATTTGCGCTTATACAGAAGCCCTCACTTCCCTGTACTGAACGCTATTCATTATCCAAATGGATAAAGCCATCCTTCATTCAACACATATTTCCCGAGCACCTACTGGATGTCAGCCTGCTGCAGACATTACAGCCACAACTTTAAGGTCAAACATCATGGGGCCTTTTTTCCCAAGAGACAGGATCTTGCTTTGTTGCTCAGGCTGGAGTGCAGCAGTGCAATCATAGCTCACTGCAGCCTCAAACTCCTGGACTCAATTGATACTCCCACCTCAGCCTTCCAAGTAAGGCACTACAGCATGCACCACCGTGCCTGGCTGATTTTTTGTTGTTTTGTTTTGTTTTTGTATAGAGACAGGGTCTCCCTATGTTGCCCAGGCTGATCACAAAAAGAGGGGCTTTATCTAATGTCCTCTGTTTGTGTATGTTTAAAGTGGGAGAGAAAGATACCTAGGAAATGGATGTTAAAAAGCACTAGTGCCTTTAATTTCTCAAGTACCTTAGAGTGTTGCTAACTCATAGTGGATCCACACTTTGAACCCAGTCCTCTGGCTCCCAGTCGGCGTTCCCGACACCCGCTGACACTAGCAGACAGGGCCTTCCAGAAGAGAAGGCTTGTTTGAAGCCTTTGGGCAAGTGACTTCCCAGCTCACCAGTGTTCACTGAGAGCCTCCCCTTCCCCAGGGAAAATGGGATTCTCTCTGTCTAGCCCTCCTGTGGACAGATGGAGCTGGCAGAGAGGGAAGCCCCTTAGCAGCAGGCATATCTTGCTTTTCAAAAGGATGTCTAGGCCAGGCGCAGTGGCTCATGCCTATAATCCCAGCACTTTGGGAGGCCGAGGTCGGCAGATCACCTGAGGTCAGGAGTTCGAGACCAGTCTGACCAATATGGAGAAACCCATCTCTAGTAAAAATTAGCCAGGTATGATGGTGCATGCCTATAATCCCAGGTACTTGGGAAGCTGAGGCAGCAGAATCCCTTGAGCCCAGAAGGCAGAGGTTGTGGTGAGCCAAAATTGTGCCACTGTACTCTAGCCTGAGCAACAAGAGTGAAACTGTCTCCAAAAAAAAAAAAAGTCTGTGGGGTCAGGGGAGATGAGATTCAGTCTGACTGTGTGCTGAATAAATTGATATTAGCCACATAATAGCCCCAAAGGAAGAAGGGGCACAAAGCAGTTGCTGGACAGGCACAGTATTCCACACCCATAATTCCCAGCACCTTTGAAGTCCAAGGCAGGAGAATTGCTCGAGCCTAGGAACTCAAGACCAGCCTGGGCAGCATAGCCAGACCCCATCCCCCCCAAAAAAATTAGAAAAAAATAGCCAGATGTGGTGTGCACCAGCAATCCCAGCTACTCAGGAGGCTGAGGTGGGAGGATCCACTTGAGCCCAGGAGGTCAAGGCTAGGGTGCCTAACCTTCGATCATGCTGCTGCACTCCAGCCTGGACAACACAATGAGACTCTCTCAAAAAGAAAAGCTGTTGCTATGAGGAGACATTGATGGACCCACGCAGGCCTGAGCTCGGTGGCTTAGGCCAAAGCTTTGTAGGAGGGGGTGTAGAAGGCATGAAGTGACTGGACATGTCCCTTTGAAGTCCACTTGCCACGGCCGTGCAGTGCCTGTGTGGGTTGTCGTCAGTGCTGGGGAGAGCATCCCATGGCCACAGACTGGAAAGGAAAGCTTCACCCAAAGAGAGCCAGGGGGATCACCTATTGCCTGGTCACCTTGCTTACCTCTGCTAGGATGCAGTGACACACAGAAATGGGGCTAACTTTGTCACAGGTGCCAGGCTCAGCTGCAGGTACCAGGTTTGCACCTTGCTCACCCAGGCTGGGGTTGCATGACAGTGATCTCTGTCCACCCTGGACTGTCCAAAGAGCTTCCCCTTGCTGGCCCCCATGGTGCCCAAATCACAGAACTGCCAAATTTCAGGGTTTGGGGAGACCTCAGCCCAGCTCTAGCACAGCTCCTCTGTCATAGTCCCCTTCTGTGTGATTGGCCATTTCTCCAACTGTGAGTTGGAGCCTATTGTCTCCAGGCCTCACTGGCTCCTCCCCCCTCCCTTCTTGCATTCTCTCTGCTGCATCCAGGATGGTCTGAAAACTCTCATCTGGGTGGGTGCTTTCATATTCTACCCCTGACTGAGTCCGTCTCCAGGGGTGATTCCAGGGCATTCTAACCCTCAGCCGGGCCTTGTAAGTGGCAGAGACCATCAGGCTTCAGCCTCACCTCCCTGGCCCTGTGTGCCTTTTTCATGGGCTCTTCAGTGCCTGGAGCACCACCTGCTCCCTCTTTGCCTGAAGAACTGGCCCCTTACTTTCCATACTTTGCCCCACGTGCTGCCCCACCCCATGTGGTTCTCCCACAGCACATGGTAAGTTGGGGTCTCTGCTCTGCTCCAGATCCACTTTCCAGAAACCATCAAGGCTCTTGTCAGGCGTGGATTGCTCTGAATGTGTGTGGTACATGCAGGTCGGTGGGAACGGCATTAGGCTTATGTGCTTGGGACCCTGGGTGATCTGATGGGCTGTGGTCAGTGGCCTGGACTAGCCCGGGAACCTGATGGAAAATGGAACTTTAGGGCACAGCGGTCCCTGAGTTGGAGCCTGTTGTCTGAACTGCCTTCCTGGTGTGCGTCTTCCATGCCATCCTGCAGCTCTGCCCCTGCGGGTCCTTCCTGGAGCCCCGCTCCCTCTCCTCTGAGAGGCTGACTTTGCTCATAGCCGAGCATCTTTCAAATGCCTTACTGACCTTGCCCTCACAGACCCATTCCCCAGTTATAACTGATTTCTCATGTTATGCTTTGCTGAATATCCTTCCTTTCTACCTGACCTCTGACTGCTGGCCCTACTTCCGCGTGACACATGGGAGCCTTGCTGGGGCCAGATCACCTCTGAGCTCTTTTCCTTTCTGAAGCAGCTGCCACCCATGGGCCTGTGGGGTCTGACTCCAAGTGCCAGCCCCTCCTCTGATGTCAGAAGGATATGTCCCCTCCTCCCCAGGCACCCACTGGGGCTCTATGGCTTCCATTCACCTGGCTGGGTTGGAGAGGAGTGAGCCTACCGTCTCAGTCTGAGCAGGCCGCCTTCTTGTTACCTGGACACCTGGCAGCCTCCGTTCTCAGGACAAACTGTGGAAACCCGAAAGCGAGCCAGCCGGGTACCAGTGTTTGCCTGAGAATTAATCTTTTTTTCTTTCTCTTTCAGTGGTTGATATCACAGCAAGTATCCTTTCTGTGTTGGTACGGTTCCCTTTAAGGAATTCTCCACTTAAATAAAAAGAATGTATCAAAACTTGAATCCCACCTCCCAACATGCCCTGCAAGTTGAGGCTCTGCCCACAGACCCTGGAACATCCTCACCTAGCCCTCGGCTGCCCCTGGGTGCTGCGCTCCTCTTTGTGCTTCCCTCCATATCTGGCACCGAGCTCTAAGCCCTGCCCTACGGCAAGCTCTGGGTTCACTGGGGGAACAACAGAAATTGAAATTTCAGGGCAGGCTGGGACACGCGTGCCCCACAGACCTCAGCACAGTAGGTCCCCCAAGCTGTGGCCTTTTTTTTTTTTAAGATGGAGTTTCACTCTTATTGCCCAGACTAGAGTACAATGGTGTGATCCTGTCTCACTGTAGCCTCCATCCCCTGGGTTCAAGTGATTCTCCTGCCTCAGCCTCCCGAGTAGCTAGGATTATAGGCGCCTGCCACCACACCCAGCTAATTTTTTACATTTTTAGTAGAGAAGGGGTTTCACCATGTTGGTCAGGCTGGTCTCAAACTCCAGACCTCAGGTGATCCACCCACCTTGGCCTCCTAAAGTGCTGGGATTACAGATGTGAGCCACCGCACCCAGCCTGCTGTGGCCCTTTCAAACTGACCTTTTTCACAGTGTCTGTACTTCCTTAACTGGACGTCACTAGATCCCACAGTTCGAAGATGTTAAATTTGAAGCAGCAAGTCTGTTGTCTGAGTTATACTGTCAAGAGGTAAGAACATATTCAGGTTTCTGAAAGCAAAGTATCATCTCTCCCTGTTGCTAAGATGTGAAAGCACATTGGCACATTGGGGCTCCAGGAGTTGGAATCCCTCTTTTTTTTTTTGGTCGAGGGAAGGACAGGGTCTCACTCTGTCACCCAGGCTGGAGTGCATGGCACAATCATGACTCACTACAGCCTTGAACTCCTGGGCTCAAATGATCCTCCCACCTCAGCCTCCCGAGTAGCTGGGACTGTAGGCGTGTGCCACCATGCCTGGCTGATTTTTTAATTTATTGGTGTAGAGATGGTCTTGCCCAGGCTGGTTTCAAACTCCGGGCCTCAAGCAATCCTCCCCCCTCGACCTCCCAAAGTGCCAAAACTATACACTAGAACCACCATGCCCGGCCTTTCTGGCTGTTAACACTTGAGATTACTTTGCTGCCTCTTATGCCCCAGCCCCAGGGCTTTGGTGGGTAGTCACCTGCTAAAAAGGGCTGGCAGCTTCCTTTTCTGCGGAAGGCTCTTAGAGAGATCAGCCTGTTCCTCGCCTGACAAGTCTGTACAGTTTCTCTTCTTAATCTGGTTCTGATTTCAGTTGTAGCTGAAATTTGCCTTCCTCCCACCTCGGAATGATGATGAGTAAGGTGGCCTTGGCAGCAGGGAATGTGTGTGCTTCACACCCCAATGCCTCTCTCTGCTCTGAGAACATAAAAGATGGGAACTGGCATCTGATTTGACTATTTAGAATTTTGAACTGAAACTACTTTCAGTCCGTTGAATGAGAAGTTATTTTAAGAGTGGTGCAGAACTTCCCAGCCAGTGAGTCCAATAAATTATCTTTTTTTGCTTTTAATAAAGTAAATTGGCAACCCAAAAAATCCTTTGGTAAGCATGAGCAGGAACTGCCTTCTGGCACCGCAGCTGCTGCTAAGGAATCCGTCTTGATTGCCGCCTTGTTTTTTTTTTTAAACCTTCCCAAACGTGACTATTTCCTTTCAGAATTCCGTTGATGCAGCAAAGCCGCTGCTGCGGAAGGCAATCCAGATCTCACAGCAGACCCCATACTGGCACTGCCGTCTGCTCTTCCAGCTCGCTGTGAGTACCACGGCCCAGGCACGAGGGTGCCGGGCAGGGACCATGACCCTGTGGCACACCTGCCCCATGTGCAAAGAGCAGCAGAGTATACAACGAGGAGACCCCCTTAGGCTGCCACACAGAGCGGGTGGGGACATAGGGATGTTTCCTTTACCTGCTCACAAGCCCCCTCCAGCCTCCGTCCTTGACAGCATCCCCAGCTTGAGCCTAGCTCTCGGCAGCACCCAGGGATGAGTGGTGGGAGTGCGGGTCTCCCCCAGGACCAACATTGACAGTAGGCCTGCTGCTTGTTAGGTGTCTTTGCGTTCCCCTCCCTCCCAGCCATTTTAATCTCATCTTTGGCCTGCACTCATCGAAATCCCGGGAACGTTTCTTGCCAGAGATCTGCTGTGGGTTTTTTAGGAGCTACACTGAGACTCCAAGGGACTGCCTATCTGGCCATGAATGTCCACATCAAACCTTGTTCCCCACATGGGGCCTCGCTTTCAGGGGCTACTGGGGCACAGCTTTATCCTGAGATCCACACAGTTCCCCCTCATTCCCCCTTCAGCGCCCCTAGATGTAGGTGGTCCCCTGGTCCCTGAGCTCCACAATGCTTGGTTGTCGGGGAACTCTGAACTGGGCCTTCCCGGCTAGAGTGGAGAGGCCAGCAAGCTTCACTGTGTGGGACACATCTCCTGTCCTGGGCTCCATCCACACCTCCGCACTGGGCACCCTTAGGCATCCTCTCCCTGGCGACCCCCAGCCTCTCTCTTCCATGACCCAGCCTGCCCTCCAGGCCACCACTTAGCTACCTCCCATGATACCCACCTAAGCAAGCAGTGTGTGCACCCTGGGTCAAGAATGCCTCCAGTTGAGCTGCTCACCCCAGCAGGGTCTGGCTGAGAAAAGACCCCACAGGGAAGAGCTCACACAGCAGTCAGGGCTCCCAGGGCCCTCTTCCCCCAGGCCTGTTGAGAAGCCATGTTCATACGCAGTCTTCTTCTATCTCCCCATGCACACTTGTGCCCATTAGCAGACAAAGGAGCAGGCCAGTCCGTGAGTCACCTGCCCTAGGTCACGGAGTTGGCAGGCGCACCTAGGGGTCAAGTTCTCTACCATGGCCCCGCAAGTGTTGCCTTGCAGGGTCAAACCAGGCATGTGCCTCCTTTTCAACCTGTTGAGGCTTTGACACTTGCCTCTGAGGGAGTCCCTTCTTGTAGACCCTGGAACACACTGACATCCCACTGAAGATGGACCCCACAGGCACCCACAAAGCGCTCAGAGCAGCCCTAGGTGCTCACACAGCCCTGGGGGTCTGTGACATGAGTCTTGGCTGCTGGTTCTATGCTCCATTAAGTTTAGACAGTGTCTACTGCAGGCACCATTCAGTTTAGATGACATATATACCACAGGCCAACTGGAGCTGTGTACCCAAAGGAATGTTGAGATAATTTGGTTAATATCGCTCAGAACTGACACAGGCAGTTTCATTGAGGTGGGGAGGTTTGAGTTTGCTAACAAAGCACAAAGGCCAGGTACCGTAAAACTGATGAGTTTGGCAGCAAAGGTCACTGCTCTCTCTGCTTTTTAGCAACTGCACACGCTTGAGAAGGACCTGGTGTCGGCCTGCGACCTCCTGGGTGTGGGGGCCGAGTACGCCCGGGTGGTGGGATCCGAGTACACACGGTAGGCACCCGCTCCCCTCCTTCCCTCCTGCTCTCTTAACATAGAAGGGGCTTGACCATCTTGGTCCAGGACAAAGAACAGAAATGGCATTTCAGGCCAGGTGCGATGGCTCACAGTATATTCCCAGCACTTTGAGAGGCCAAGGTAGGAGAATCACTTGAGCCCAGGAGTTCAAGACCAGCCTGGGCAACATAGTGAAATGCCATCTCTACAAAAAATATAAAAATTATGAGGTGCAGATTTGAGCCTGACATTCAAGCCTGCCCACTGGCCCCCACCCTCTGTGTCCATCACTGCCAAGTTTTTTTCTAGAGATAGGGTCTCACCATGTTGCCCAGGCTGGTCTCAAACTCCTGACCTCAAGTGATCCACCCATCTTGGCCTGCCAAAGTGCTGAGATTACAGGCATGAGTCATTGCACCCGGCCACCTTCTGGACTTTAGACATGAGTGCATCTAAGCCATTCAAGAAAAATAAATACAGGCTAGGTGTAGTAAATCACTTGAGGTCAGGAGTTCTAGACCAGCCTGGCCAACATGGTGAAACCCCATCTGTACTAAAAATAAAAAAACTAGCCAGATGTGGTGGCACATCCCTGTAGTCCCAGCTATTCAGGAGGCTGAGGCCGGAGAATCACTTGAACCCGGAAGGCAGAGGTTGCAGTGAACCAAGATTACACCACTGCCTGGGTGACAGAGCGAAACTCTGTCTAAAAAAAAAAAAAGAAATATAGATATAATAGGATAAAATAGAGCAGTCTTGTAAATATAACAAACTTCATCTGGGACTGTTCACTGTTGTCCACTGAACTGTCCCCCGAGGTGGCACATTAGGTCCTGTGAGCCTTGGGGCAGTCACAGTCATCCCAGGAGGCCCCTGGGTCTTCCGGGACCTGACCCCCGCCTCTGTTTTGCAGGGCGCTGTTCCTCCTCAGCAAGGGGATGGTAAGTTGAGGTTGGGCATGGCTGGATGCGGCTGGTGTTGTGGAGGTGAGGCAGGGCCCCCACAGAGTCTGCTCCGACCCCACTTGCTCTCCATGGCATCGCCCCTCAGGCACAGTGAGCAGCCTAGAGGGTGAGGCCCGGGCCTTGCAGGGTTCAGGAGGGAAGCTCAGGCTCCGCCCAGTGGGATTCATGCTGAGGCAGAATCCTAGTTAGGAGCTGTCTGGGCCGGGGTTTCAGGCTGGCCTTGCCCTCTGGGTTGGTGGCAGCAGTCCCAGGGCAGGTGGGCAGCCCCGTGCTCCTGGTCCAGGGAGGGCCCCTGCAAGCCACGCACCCCATGCCAGCACCTCTCCCTCCCCAGCTGCTGCTGATGGAGCGCAAACTGCAGGAGGTGCACCCACTGCTGACCCTCTGTGGGCAGATCGTGGAGAACTGGCAGGGGAACCCCATCCAGAAAGAGTCGCTGCGTGTCTTCTTCCTGGTGCTCCAGGTCACCCACTATCTGGATGCCGGGCAGGTGCGTGGCGCCTCTCGGGCGAGCTGCTGGTTGTGACCAGTGGGTATGGGTGGCACCCAGGCCAATGGGTCTTGGGCTGTGAGGTCAGCTGTGTTTGTCACACAGCAGGGCTGTCATTCCAGCCCCAGACACACACACTCTTGGCCTGCTCTGGTGCGAGTGCTGGCACCATTGTGCCTGCCTGGTGTGTTAGTGTGGTGCCTGCAAGCAAGGTCTATCCCGGCCACCCCACCCTTTGGGAGTATGATGTGTGACATTGCATATACTCACTCAGCATGTGGACGCTCAGAGATTCCAACTGCAGTTCAGGGAATCATGAGAATAAAGCATGGATGCACTGGGGTGGTGCCTGTACACAGCAGATGCTCAAGTGATATCTGTCTGGTCCCCCTGCTGTGGGGTTGAGCAGGGACTAATGTGCCCAGCCATGTCGAGACTGGACTCTGTGACCCTACTGTGGGTGGGGAACGGCTGTGTTTGAGCTCCTTGTCTCTGCTTGTATGACAGCCTTGACCCTTCAGGGGCTGGGAGCTGCTCTGTGCCCCTCAGACCTACCCCTCTTGCCATGGGCTGCAGGCAAGCCTCTCCACAGGGCTTGGTAAGGGGGTTCCCCAGTTCCCCCATCCATACCCATCATTGCCCATTGGGTGAAGCACTGCACTTGGCACATAGGGACACAGAGCAGACTGTAGCCACACTTCTCTTGGGGTGCCAAGGCTGCAGAGACGTCCCTCGGGGCTTCAGGACGAGATGGGTCAGTCTGTAAGAGCCACAGCGCCTGCGAGACTCCCACCCCCTGCAAAGCACTTGGGTCTGGCTGCAGGAAGGGCAAGAGCAGCTCCAGCAGGGTCTGGACAGGCCTCTCCTGGGCCTTGGTGTTGGGCCCAGCACTGGGCAGTGGACAAACTTCAGTCCCATAGCTGCCTGCCTGGCCCTGCCCCTGCCCTGACAGCCCAGCTGATCCATGGGAGTGCAGCGGGGGTGGGTCCATCTTGCAGGAGGTGGCCATGGCAGAAGGGGAAGGCAGGTGCTCCCTGGAGGAAGGGGCAGGGGTGGCTGGGCTGGGCCTGGCCTCCTGAGAGGCCAGGCTCAGGTGGGCACTCAGGTGTGGGTGCTGCGCAGGTAAAGAGCGTGAAGCCGTGTCTGAAGCAGCTGCAGCAGTGTATCCAGACCATCTCCACACTGCACGACGATGAGATCCTGCCCAGCAACCCCGCCGACCTCTTCCACTGGCTGCCCAAGGAGCACATGTGTGTGCTCGTCTACCTGGTGCGTCCTGCTAGGGCCAGGGCTGGGGGCGGGGGCAGGGAGAGGGAGAGGGCCCTGGTAACCCCTGCTGTCTGGTCTTGTCGCCAGGTGACTGTGATGCACTCCATGCAGGCAGGCTACCTGGAGAAGGCACAGAAGTACACGGACAAGGCTCTCATGCAGCTGGAGAAGCTCAAGAGTAAGTCAGGTGCTCGGTTGGCCACGTGGCCACAGTGCCCCCTGGCGGACGGCCTGGCCAGATGCCGGCTGTGCCAAGGCCCAGTGACCCTGTGTGACTGCGCTGCCTTGCCTGGTGGGTCTCGTCACCCCAGTTGATAAATGCTGGTGACCAACATCAGAGCAGAGCAGACTGGCCTGGGGTGGGAGGTACCCCCCTGAGTGGTCAGGGCCCTTGTACCCAGTTATGCTCAGTTGAAACAGGTGGTGGCTGCTTTTCCTGATTATTATCAATGTTGTGATGGGGACACTTGGGATGAGGCCAGGATTCGAATTCAGTCCTCACTGACCCCAGCATGTCCCTTGGAAGTCCTGAGTTCTTTCCAAATGCTCAACTGTCTAATCCGTTCAGGGATTTTGACTAGCACAAACCCAGAGCAGATGTCTCTGGCTGGTGCAGTGTGCCTGAAAGTCTGCCTGTTTGCACCCTCGAGAGTGCTGCTCAGGGAGAAGGCATCAGAGTCAAGCCAGCTTGGAGCCTGAGAGGCCTCTGCTGCTCTTTGTAATATTCCCATGTGAGGTTGGCTGCTTGGGGCTGCCAGGAGGTAGGGTCCGGCCCAGGTCCCCCCACCCCCTGCCTGAGGCTCTGTTGCATGTCTCATGATCCGGGGTGGTTTCCACATTTGTAGAACCTATTGTGTCCACAAGCTATTGAGCACATAGAGTGAGGGGTGAGGGTCAGAGCCAACCCCTCTTGGAACACTGTGGAAACCAACCTCTAGCTCCCGCTCCATTTTCTCACCTGGACACCAAGACATACTTTCTCACTCAGAGTGGGTAGTGGGGACTGGGGAGATGATGGGGTGGGTGCCTGGCCAGTATGACAGGAGACAGGAATGAGGTGGGGGCATGGCGGGCTGGGGGTGGCGCCGCCTCCAGCCTCCCCTGCCTGCTCATCCCCAACTCTCGCCCACAGTGCTGGACTGTAGCCCCATCCTATCGTCCTTCCAAGTAATCCTGCTGGAGCACATCATCATGTGCCGCCTCGTCACGGGTCACAAGGCCACGGCTCTTCAGGAGGTAAGGCTGGGTGGTGCACAAGGGGCGGGAAGGCCCAGGAGTTTGTTGGGTCTCAGCAGTGTCAGACCAGAGACTGAATCCGCCAAGTGCACACTGGCCAGTTCGGCCAGCGCTAGCCCATCCTGCTGTCTCGCTGTCAGCCAGTGTTTCTCAGCCCTGCATAGGCACCACTGATCAGAGAATCTCATACAAAAACCAGTGGAGGCCAGGCGTGATGACTCATGCCTGTCATCCAAGCACTTTGGGAGGCTGAGGTGGCTGGATCATTGAGGTCAGGAGTTTGAGACCAGCCTGGCCAACCTGGCAAAACCCCGTCTCTACTGAAAATACAAAAATTAGCCAGGTGTGGTGGCGGGTGCCTATAATCCCACTGTTACTTTAGAGGCTAAGACAGGCGAATCATTTGAACCTGAGAGGCGGAGGTTGCAGTGAGCCAAGATCACACCACTGCATTCCAACCTGGGCAACAGAGTGAGACTCCGTCTCAAAAAAATAAAAAACACAAACAAACTGATGGGCCATGGCCCAAAAGCTTGCACACCGAGAGAATAGCATACATGGTCTCCAGAAATTTGGGGGTCCCTTGATAGTGATTCTTATACCCCACCCTGTGTTAGGAACACTGTCTACCCCCAGTGCCACCCTCCTGAGGGGATGGGGGCCTTGAGTAGGCCAGAGATCCTTTACGGCCCGGACACCTGTTGGACAGGGTGGAGGAGGCCAGTAACAGACAAGGGTCCTTATCTACAGTGGGGTCCAGGCTGCCCTTTGCCCTCATGGGGGATGTGTCTGCTGGAGCTTTGTACCCCAGTTTGGGCAGACGGGACATGGGCTCACCCACCAGGGATGGGGTCTCCCCAGTGCTGCTCAGACACCAGGTCCCAGATTGCAGTCTTGTGACAGCAGCATACACTCTCCCGGCAGATCTCCCAGGTCTGCCAGCTGTGCCAGCAGTCCCCCCGGCTCTTCTCCAACCACGCAGCACAGCTGCACACACTGCTGGTGAGTAACCCCATGACGGCACCCCAGGATAATCCAGAATGTTCCCAGTAAGTAAGCACCTAACCAGATCAAGAACATTCCCAGTGAAGAACCCCCTGACAGCACCCTAATCAGAATCTGGAATGTTCCCATAGGTAATCACATAACCTCCCCAGGCAGGATCCAGAATGCTTCCAGTGAGCATCCTGTCCCACCCCACGTTGGCTTGGGTCTGAAAGACGGGGACAGTGAGCATGTTACCTGCCTCGCAGCTGACTCGGTAGAGCCATTGTCATACTCCTCCAGGGCAGCCGTGTAGGCCCCGGGCACACCGCATGGTCTCTGATCTGAGTCCTCAGTGGGAGCTCCCCAGGGGCCGGCCCTGATGACAGCACCACCTTCTTCCAGGGCCTGTACTGTGTCTCTGTCAACTGCATGGACAACGCGGAAGCCCAGTTCACCACAGCCCTTCGGGTAAGGTGCCGGCCCTCCTTGCTGCTGGGGCGGGCCACACTTCTGAGTAAGGAGTCGGGTGTGGTCTGTGATGAGGACAGCTGTTGCGCTAGGTCAGCTACGCAAAGCCACAGCACCAGAGGCAGTGCACCATCATCGGCTTATGCCAGCCCTGGCAGTGACACACTGTTTATCCAGATAAGGCGGCGCTATGGGGCCAGGAGCTTCCTGAGCTGACCCGAGGGCAGACGTGAGGGAGAGGTATGACGTGTCTGGGGCGCTACTTTAGTGCCTGAGTGGGAGCTCTTGCGGCACCCACCCCCAAGGCTGGATTGGCTCCATTGTCAGCTGACGACTCAGAGCCACCCAGGGTTCAGGGCTCCCCTGGAGAGTGATGAGCTGGGCCACCTCCCAGGTGCTCTGTGGGCAGGGCCCCTGGAAGAAGGCTGGAAGAAGCCCAGAGTGGGACCATGGTGTCCCCACCTCAGCCTCAACCTCCTCACAGGAAATAGGGCTATGGACGCCTTTTTCCTGGTGATTCTAGGAAGGGCTCTGAGGAGAGGTGCCAGGGAGCAGGGGCTGCTCTGTCTGCCACTCAAGCAAGATCACCGGGAGTCCTGCGTGCACCCTGACTGTGGGCAGTGTGCAGGCCTGTGGGTACTGCCACCCCTGCCATTGGCCTCAGGTGCGCAGAAGCCCTGACATGCAGACAGCATGCTTGGGTGGGAAGGGTCGGTTCAGCATCCACTCCTCTGCCCCCTTGCCTTGCTCCCAGAACCGTGGCTCACTCTGATTGCAGTAGGGCCAGGATTCCCTTCGTGCCTCACCATCCTGCCATCTCTGTCTGCATCTCACTCCCCATAAGTGGTTGCTGCTGCTGGCTTGGTTCCCCATCAAGCTTCCCAAGGCCATGTACCCTAAGGGATCCTCACGCCAGGGTCGAAAGCGCTTCTTTCTCATCGCCCACCCAGGAGTGATGTAGCCAGGATGCAACCCCAACCCCTCTAACCCCGAACACACGCGCCACCTCCTGTGGCCCTGCAACAAATATCCCCCACCTTGCTATGTCTCAGAGCATCCATGCTTGGTTCAGGAGATCCTCTGGGCCTCCTGGCTGTGCACCAGGAGAAGGTCTGTGCCGGTGGGGTCTGTACTTCCTGGGCTCACTCCACCTCTTGCCCAGCCCAGGAACCAGGGTCTGGGCAGGGCTTGTGCCACAGAGCGGTCCCTGTCTTGATGATCTCATTTCCCAAAAAGAGCCAGGGGCTATGGTCCATCCACCACCTTGTCATCCTCAGCATTTCTGGCCCCCGACACAGCATTACCCACCTCTGGAGCAGGGCCTGTGTTGGTCCCCTCTGGGACAACAGCTCCCCTCTTCCCCTCCTCCCCCCACGAAGAGTGATCCCTGCCCAGGACCAGCATGTGCCTTGATGGCAGTGGACACCTGGGTCCCACAGGTTGCTGGCTGTGGCGTGGAGGAAGGGTCCGCCAGGTCTGTCCTGAGAAACAGCAGAAAATGGACCAAAACCCAACGTGTTCTGAGGATGGGATCGGCATGGCTGGTTTGTTTTTTTTGTTTTTCGTTTTTTTGAGACAGAATCTCTCTGTCACTCAGGCTGGAGTGCAGTGGTGTGATCTCAGCTCACTGCAACCTCTTCCTCCCCAGTTCAAGCAATTCTCCTGCCTCAACCTCCTGAGTAGCTGGGACTTCATGAGTGCAGGCGCATGCTACCACATCCAGCTATTTTTTATATTTTTAGTAGAGATGGGGTTTCACCATGTTGACCAGGATGTCTCGATCTCTTGACCTCATGATCCGCCCGCCTCAGCCCCCCAAAGTGCTGGGATTACAGGCGTGAGCCACTGCTCCCGGCCTCAGGTTTTTCTCTTCTCTGTTCTCTAACTGCTCCGTAGGGCAGACAATGGTTTATAATGAGAAGAATTGATAACTGTGTTACCCTTGGGTATTGGAGGCAAGGCAAGTGTATTTGAAATGAAAAGAACAAGTCTTTTCTGAAGTAGTCTCCGTGGAGATTGTGGGTGGCTCTGACACTGCCATGTGGGTCACAGCACCCAGCCCAGCCTCCTAACGTCCCCATCTCCCGTTCCAGCTCACGAACCACCAGGAGCTGTGGGCCTTCATCGTCACCAACCTGGCGAGTGTGTATATACGGGAAGGAAATAGGCACCAAGAGGTAGTAGGTGACATGCTTCATGTTTGGTATCCTTTCTCTTCATTCTCTTCTTTTTGGGGAACCAGGGGGTTGTCCTGGGCACCAGCAAATCTCAGCAAACAGCACACCCCAGGGTGTTCACCTTGAGGGATGGGTGCACTTGACACAGAGGCACACAGGGTGACCCAGAGGTGGATCAAGGGAGGCCAGGTCTGGGACAACAACATTCCCATAGCCAAGCTATATGAATCCCACAGACAAAGTCTTATAGCCCAAGCATTCTGCTCTAGGATATCGACCAGGCCTTGAGGCCCAGCCCTAAGGGACAGCAGCTGGGGCACCTTGTCCCCAGGTTGTACTGGTTCCCCTGCAGGGTCGGGGCCCTCACTGGCTCCAGTGTTGGGTAGGGGCGCCCAGGGTTGTCCTCATAGGCCAAGCACTCTGACGTGGACTTCTGAGCCAGTGCTCACAAGAGTCAGGTTCCCTTTGCAGTTCCTCTCAGCCCTAGGATCCTCCATCAGCCCTGGGATCCCCCCCAGCCCTAGGATCCTCTTATCAGCCCCCAGGATTCCCTCTTCAGCCCTGGGATCCCCCTCAGCCCTGGGATTCCCTGTTCAGCCCTGGGATCCCCCTCAGCTCTAAGACATCCCTCAGTTCTAGTATTCCTTTCAACCCTTGGAGTCTGCCTCCAAAGTGTCTCAGGCCTGAGGCAGTGGCTCATGCCTGTAATCCCAGCATTTTGGGAAGTCAAGGCAGGAGGATCCCTTGAGGTCAGGAGTTAAAGACCTGGGCAATATAGTGAGACCCCCATCTCTACAAAAAAATTTTTTAAATAACCCAGTGTGGGTGTGCAGGCCTGTGGTCCAAAGTACTTGGGAGGCTGAGACAGGAGAATCACTTGAGCTAAGGAGGTTGAGGCTACAATGAGCCGTGATCCAGCCCTGACTGGGTCATCTGATGCCAGATGTGGGCTCGCAGTGTTGAGGAGGAGCCTGGCTCCCCTGAGCCTCTGCAGCCAGAGGGCATCTAAAATACTAGATCACGCCCCCATCAGAGCCTCACAGGGTCCCTGCACCTCCAGAGAAATTCCATTCACCCCCACCGGCCCACAGGGCTCATGGACCCCAGCCTGCCAATCTGCCCACTGCCCCTCAGCGTCACTCTGACCATACAGAGGCCTCCTGGACACCCAGGCCCCCGTCACCTACCACAGGACAGGGTGGCACAGGCAGGGCCAGTCGAGGGTGTGAGGGTCCTGCCCCTGGCCTTTCTCACCAGAGACCACTCGCTGGTCAGTCACCAGGCTCTACCTGGTCAGCCACAGTCCCTACAGGAGTGTAGAGAAATGCCCATGTACTGCAGTGCGTTGTGGGGACCTTTCCTCTGTGAAAATGCAGAGTGGTGCTGACTGGCTCTTCCTCCCCTAGCTCTACAGTCTGCTGGAGAGGATCAACCCAGACCACAGCTTCCCTGTCAGGTGAGCCGCTCTAGGCGCCACTCCACACATGGCCTAGGCTCCCTGTGCTCTTTGAGGTGGGGCCCCCAACTGCCTTTTGCACCCTGACACCCCACACCCCTCCTCACAGACAGTCTGCAGCAGGGGGCTCTCAGAAATCCCTCCCCCGCTGCCTGCCCACTGCCGTTTTTGTAAACCTGCTGCTTTATCTAAATCCCCACCCCACGTGACACTACACTCTCCCCACAGCTCACACTGCCTCCGAGCGGCTGCCTTCTATGTGCGCGGGCTCTTCTCCTTCTTCCAGGGACGCTACAATGAGGCCAAGTGAGTGCAGGGCAGAGGGCAGCGGGTGGGCTGTGCTCAGGGTGGCCCAGGCCCTGTCCTGCAGGTGTCAGCGTCTGCATTCTCCTTGTCAGGCGATTTCTGCGGGAAACTCTGAAGATGTCCAATGCCGAGGACCTGAACCGGCTCACGGCCTGCTCTCTCGTGCTCCTGGGCCACATCTTCTACGTGCTGGGAAACCATAGAGTGAGTGCCCTGGCCTGGGCCCCTTGCTTGGGTGCCTGTGGGGCTGGCTGAGGGACAGGAGCCAGCTAGCAGCCTAGGGGCAGCATGGCACTGTTCATCCTATGCCCCTTGAAGAGTGTGTCTAGGTGGGCACCCTGGCTGCCAGTCTGGGCAGGCAGGGGCAAGGGAGCTGGGTACCCACGGAGGGTGTGGGGGCAGGCAGGAGGCCCAATGGGTGTGGCCTCAGACATCGGGCAGGCAGAGCTCCAGGGGTCAGGGGAGCTGAAGCCAGGGCCAAAGAAGCTGCCCTGAGCTGGCAGGGATGACACAGGCACCCCATCCTGTGGACACCCAAGGGGCAGGGAAATTACCTCCTCTCAGCCAGAATCCCAAACATTTCCTCCTTGCCTGGCATGCAAAGCGTCCTCTCAGGGTACAAGTGCCCCCTGGGGTTGGTCCCTACCCAAAGCCAGCTGGTCTCTGACGGGACCAGCTGCCTCAGTCCTTCCTGTCAATTCCTCACCTGCTCTCACCCACCTGATCTCACAAGGTCTTGAATTTTCTTTCCTTTTTTTTTTTTTTTTTTTTTTTAATTTTGAGATGGAGTTTCGCTCTTATGGCCCAGGCCTAAGTGGTACAATGACACCATCTCTGCTCACCACAACCTCTGCCTCCCCGGTTCAGCTGATTTTCCTGCCTCAGCCTCCCAAGTAGCTGGGATGACAGACATGCACCACCACGCCCAGCTAATTCTGTGTGTGGTTTTTTGTTTTTTATTTTTTTGAGACAGAGTCTCGCTCCGTCACCCAGTCTGGAGTTCAGTGGCACGATCTCTGCTCACCACAACCTCCATCTCCGGTTCAAGCGATTCTCCTGCCTCAGCTGCCCAAGTAGCTGGGACTACAGGTGCACACCACCACGCCTCAGCTAATTTTTTGTATTTTTAATAAAGATGGGGTTTCACCGTGTTAGGCAGGATGGTAATTTTGTATTTTTAGTAGAGTCGGGGTTTATCCATATTGGTCAGGCTGGTCTCGAACTGCCAACTTCAGGTGATCCACTTGTCTCAGCCTCCCAAATCGCTGGGATGATAGGCATGAGCCACCATGCCCAGCCTTTTTTGTTTTCTTATTGATTTTATTATTATTTTTTAGAGAATATTTTGGCCAGGCACGATGGCTCACACCTGTAATCCCAGCACTTTGGGAGGCTGAGGTGGATGGATCACCTGAAGTCAGGAGTTCAAGACCAGCCTGGCCAAAATAGTGAAACCCCATCTCTACTGAAAATACAAAAATAGTTGTGCACGGTGGTGGACACCTGTAATCCCAGCTGCTTCGTAGGCTGAGGCATGAGAATCACCTGAACCCAGGAGGCGGAGGTTGCAGTGAGCTGAGATTGTACCACTGCACTCCAGCCTGGGTGACAGAGTGAGACTGTCTCAAAAAAAAAAAAAAAGATATTTTTGGGTTGGGCGCTGTGGCTCATGCCTGTAATCTCAGCACTTTTGGAGGCCAAGGCAACAGATAACCTGAGGTCAGGAGTTCAAGACCAGCCTGGCCAACATGATAAAACCCCATCTCTACTTAAAATGCAAAAATTAGACGCGGTTGTGTACATCTGTAGTCCCAGCTACTTGGGAGACTGAGACAGAAGAATTGCTTGAAACCAGGAGGCGGAGGTTGCAGTGAGCTGAGGTCACACCTCTGCATTCCATCTAGCCTAGGTGAGAGCAAGACTTGTCTCCAAAAAAAAAGGGATATTTTTGGCCAGACAGTGGCTCATTGCCTGTAATCCCATCACTTTGGGAGGCTGATGGGGGAGAATCACTTGATCCCAGGAGTTCAAGACCACCAGCCTGGGGCCACCTAGCAAGACCTTTTTTTTTTTTTTTTCTTTTTCAAGGCCAAGTCTTAGTCCGTCACCCAAGTTGGAGTGCAGCGGCATGATCTCAGCTCTGCTCACAGCCACCATTGCCCCACCAGGCTCAATCGATCCTCCCACCTCAGCCTCCCAAGTACATGGGGCCATAGGTGTGTGCCACCATGCTAAGCTAATTTTTTTTGTATTTTTGGTAGAGACCAGGTCTCCATGTTGCCCACACTGGTCTTGAGCTCCTGAGCTCAAGCAATCCACCCACCTCAGCCTCCCAAAGTGCTAGGATTACAGCGTGACCCACTGCTCCTGGCCCTAGAGATGCTATCTCTTAAAAAAATAATAATGTTATTTTCCAGCCTGGCACAGTGGTTCAGGCCTATAATCCTAAAACTTTGGGAGTCAGAGGTGGAAGGATCATTTGAGGGCAGGAATTCAAAATCAACCTGGCGGGGTGCGGTGACTTACCCCTGTAATCCCAGCACTTTGGAAGACTGAGGCAGGTGGATCACTAGGTCAGGAGTTCAAGACCAGCATGGCCTATAACATAGTGCGACCATATCTCTACTAAAAATATAAAAATTAGCCGGGTGTTGTGGTACACACCTGTAATCCCAGCTGCTCAGGAGACTGAGGCGGGAGAATCACTGGAACCCAAAAGGCAGAGGTTGCAGTGAGCAGAGACGGCACCATTGCACTTCAGCCTGGGTGATAAAGTGAGACTCCATCTCAAAACAAAAGCAAAAAAGATCAGCCTGACCAGCATAGTGAGATCCCATCTCTACAAAAACCAAGGAAAAAAATTAGCCGGGTGTGGTGACTCACGCCTGTAATCCCAGCACTTTGGGAGGCCGAGGCAGGTGGATCACGAGGTCAAGAGATCGAGACCATCCTGGTCAACATGGTGAAACCCCATCTCTACTAAAAATTTGAAAATTAGCTGGGCATGGTGGCGCGTGCCTGTAATCCCAGCTACTCAGGAGGCTGAGGTAGGAGAATTGCCTGAACCCAGGAGGCAGAGGTTTCGGTGAGCCGAGATGGCGCCATTACACTCCAGCCTGGGAAACAAGAGCAAAACTCCGTCTCAACAACAACAAAAAACTTGTTACTTTTCTAGATTATAAAATATGACATGTTCATTGTTAGAAAGAAGGCTGAGAAGCAGAACAGAAAAAAATTACACGTCTTCCGTCATCCAGCCCTTCCCAATGCCACCCCTCCCACGTGGAGGTTTTGCTTATCAGCCTTCTTGGTAATTTTTTTTTTTTTTGAAATGGAGTCTTTCTTGAGTTTTTTGTATATGGATACAAAAAAAAAGAGAGGATCTTGCTCTGTTGCCCATGCTGGAGTGTAGTGGCATGATCTTGGCTCACTGCAACCTCCACCTCCCAGGTTCCAGTGGTTCGCCTGCCTCAGCCTTCCAAGTAGCTGGGATTACAGGCTCACGCCACCACACCTGGCTAAATTTTGTATTTTGAGTAGAGACAGGCTTTCACTATATTGGTCAGGCTGGTCTCAAACTCTGGACCTCAGGTGATCTGCCCACCTCGGCTTCCCAAAGTGTTGGGATTACAGGCCTGAGCTACCAGATAATTTTATATTTGCCTTCTCCACACCACTGTATTGGAAGCTTTTTTTTCCAATGGCAATGTGTGTTTCGAAGCAGCATCTGCTCTGTAGTTTAGCAATCCTCACTGTAACCATTTCCATGGGACAGATAATGTAGGATGTGTATCTTGGCCTGTAAAGTTTCATGTGGTCTGAGGGCTCCCTCAGCGTGGATACTGTTAACAAACCTGGTGCCACCTCCCCCCCCGACACACACACACACACACAACTGTGTGGTAAGCCTTTGCAGAGGCCAACAAATGGGCCCTGCATATCGGGTCCTGGTGGGCCTTGGCCTCAACTCTGGGAATGAATGCCACCACCCTGTCAAAACCTGTAGCTGGCTCCTTCCAGAATGTGCTGTCCCTCTGCCCTCAGACTCTGAGCACAGTAAGGGCTGCGTGTCCGCATTGGATAGTGCAGGTAGCCTGGGGTTATGTCAGACGGGAAGACTAAGGTCACACAGCCCCACACTGCAGTCGCAGGACTGGAACCCAGACCTCACTGGCTCTTGTTTGTGTAGAAGACCCCTGGAGCAGGAAAGGAGGGTGGAGCAGCTCGTTGGCTGCCGACCCTGGCCCATGTTTTAGGTTTCGCTGGGCATCTCACAGAGCTTGTTTAGGAATCTCCCTCTGTTCCCTGTGTTCCTGGGCCCTTGTCGGGAGACAGGCGGCTCCCAAGAACCCCCAGACCAAGGTCCTGGCCTCAAGTGACTCCAGATCTCAGGGAGACATAGCCAGACACAGCCAAGTCAGTCCTGTGAGGTCAGGCTGGGGGCATCCAGAAAGGCAGAAGCCTTGGGGGCCTGGATGGTATTGGTGCAGATAGGGGCAAAGTTGACCAGGCAGGAGCTCCCACAGAGATGGGCACCACAGCAGCCAGCGCACAAGTGCCAGAGCAGAAGGCTGAATGGGCTCAGGTGAGGGTCCAGGGGCCCAGAAGAGCTTGGGATGCCCTGTCCTGGGCCTGTTAGGCTAGAGTGTCCGCAAGCATAGGACACCTCCCAGGATCACTCAAGTCTTCAAAACCAGATTCTGTGGGGCATCCCAAGCTATTGGGGGAACCTACCTGGGAGAGCTGAGGGAGGACTCTCCTTCCCCAGGCTGTTTTCAGACAGAGGCCCTTGGCTTCCTGCAGAGAGCCCAGCCGAGCCAAGAAGCCAGCCACCACCAGGCCTAGCAGAGGAAAGCGGTTTTTCTTGCTTGAAGTTTCAGAAGGGCTTGGTGAATTTTAAAATCTCTTAAGACCCACCTGGACCTCACTTTCAAGGTGCAGCCACAGGACAGCATAGAGTTGTTGGGCTTTGTGTCTCTGGAGAAGCATCCCTGCACTCTGGAGGAGTATCTGGTGGCGTTGAAGCCAGGTCTCAGGAGTCGGCTTTGGGGATGTGTCCATCTTGGCTTCCCAAGTGCTCCCCAGGCTGCTGAAATGACCATCTAGGGAATTCTCCAGGCCTTACCTGAACCCCACATCCAGGCTGACAGGGCTTAGAGTCCTTGGCCCGGACAGAGTCAGACCAGTACTGCTGGTCGCCATGTAGTCTGTGTGGCATAGACTCTTGTCTGCCGGCTCCAGGCCCTCACCATGGTGACAGGGACGGGCATTTATGGCCCCTGATGGCTCTTACTGAGTTCTTTTGCCACATACTGAGGATGCTAGGGCTGCAAGTAGGGGTGACCCTGTGTAGTCACAAGGCAGGAAGTCAGGATTGGAGGGTTCCTGGATGCTGGCTCCCCCAGAGCCCCCACCTGTTTGTGGGGGCCTCCCATGAGAGCCAACTCAGGTGTAGAAGACAAACTGGAGGGGCTGCTGCCCTCTCAGGACCTGGAACCCTGAATGAATCTGCATTTCTGATCAGCCCCCATTGTGGGTCCAGGGCTAACTGCCATCAATGCTTTTTCTTCACTTGAAAAGGCAGAAGCACCCAGAGTTGTCCATTGTCCCTGCCCCTGGGAGGTGTACCTGTAAAGCCAGGAGTGAGGGCAGTTTGTTTTTCAGTAGTACTTCAGAGAGGGCCGTTTGAGATGGGCTCTGAGGTAGGCATAAGAGTTCACCAGATACAGAAGGAGGGCACAACCTGGGCTGGGTTCGGTAGGTGGGTTCCAGGCTATCCCCACCCCAACCTGGGCTGGGTTCGGTAGGTGGGTTCCAGGCTATCCCCACCCCAACCTGGGCTGGGTTCGGCAAGTGGGGTCCGGTCTCCTCACTCCTTCTCACTGCTCTTGGTTGACAGGAGAGTAACAACATGGTGGTTCCTGCCATGCAGCTGGCCAGCAAGATCCCAGACATGTCAGTACAGCTATGGTCATCAGCACTGCTGAGAGGTGAGTACAGTGGCCGCCCCTCCTCCCCATCCCCAGCCTGGCCCTCCCCAGAGATCAGGGCTGCTGTGCACATCCTGCTCAGCCTTGGCTCGGACTAGGCCTCAATGGGCTACAGCCCAGTTCTGGCATGGGTAGGGGATGCTCCTCCAGGAGGCCCTGGTTGAGGTCAGTGGGTGCATTTGTGGCATCTGCTTGACTCAGGGTCTGGTTCAGTCTCTACAGGACCCAGAGGCTGCTACTTGGCATCTGGTAGACGGGCTGTGAGCCATGGCTCTCTCAGCCTCACTCCTTCCCGGGAAAGCAGACAGTGGCCATGCCTGTTGTGTAGGGCTGGCCAGTGTGCCCCGGGAGCAGGGCAGGCACTCAGTGGGCATCAGTGCTGTTACCACAGCTCCTCCATTTCCAGATTAGGAAACTGAGGTCCAGAGACTCAGCCAGGGCCCTAGGGAGGTGACAGGAGATGGGGTGCTCCATGTGCAGTGGGCTCCCTGGGCTGCTGCCTCAGGATCAGTGTCCGGCATTGTGTCCCAGTGAGCGCTTGTTTGCCTGAGGGCAGGCCATGGGCTCCCTGGAGGGCTGGTGGGGAGCCTGGTATTGGGCTTTCACTGCCCAGCCAGTCCTGTTCTGTTCTATGAGGACGGCTGGTGCATGGGCTTTGTGATCCCAAGATGGGGCTCAGGGCCAGTGACGTGCCAGGCACCCAGAGATCCACTGGCACAGCTGAGACTTGACCTTGGGGCTCCACCTGCACCCAGTGGGAGGGCCTGGGCAGTGACAGGGCCCCATGCTCATGTTGCACTCTCAGACCTGAATAAAGCCTGTGGGAACGCCATGGATGCCCATGAGGCCGCCCAGATGCACCAGAACTTCTCGCAGCAGCTGCTTCAGGACCACATTGAGGCCTGCAGCCTCCCCGAACACAACCTCATCACGGTACGGGTGTGGGGTGCGTGGGGATGGGATCTCAGACCAGCGGGCTCCCCACCTGCAAGAAGGTCCAGCTTGGCCCCTATTTGTCCTTGTCCAACAAACCCTAACTCAGCCTCAGGAGCTCCCTGTAATGGGGGAGACGGCTGCAGGCACCCCCACCCAAGCAGGGGAGGCAGGTGCCTCCTTGGGGCTCGTTGGACTGGGGCATGGAGAACAGAGTCCTGGCTGGGTGAGCAGCCCAAGAAGGGTAGCATTCCAGCCTCTTCTTCCCTGGGAACGGCCCACCGTGCCTCACTCGCATGTCCTCTCCTCCCCACAGTGGACAGACGGTCCACCTCCCATGCAGTTCCAGGCTCAGAATGGACCCAACACCAGCCTGGCCAGCCTCCTGTGAGGCCCGGATGGGGCCGTCCAGCTCCGCAGGGCCTGCGTGTCTCCGGCTTCCACCCAGACGGCACTCAAGCTTGCCCCCGAGGCATGCTTCCTTCCTGACTGTCTCTAGAGCTTCCAAGTCCTGGGAATGTGCGGGACCAGTCCCTGCCCTCCCAGGAGGGGTGATGGCCGTTGCCACCTTGCACTGGGCCCCCAGTGCAGAGGCTCACAGGTGGCACTCAGGTGCCGTCTCTCCAGAGCCACCCTTCAGAGTGGACCTCAGTGCCTCAGTGCTGCCTCTGCATCTGGGTCATGTTGGCCTTGAGCAGGGTGCAGGCCCCTGGCAGATCCTGATCCTGTGTGCCAGGGCGGGTGGTGCCCCAGGGGCACCGTGCCTGATTCCATCGCCCAGGTCTTGATGCCGAGCAGGTGGAGTGTTTCCTCTGCTCAAGGCAGTTTCCAGAGCGCGGATGCCAGTTTCTGGCCTGAATTTGGAGGGAAGAAGTGATGGTCCGCGTGCAGGATGAAGCACAGATCCCAGCACTTTTCCCAGCTTTCTCTCCAGCGTAGGTCCCTGCAGCAGCTGGGGCCTTTGGTCAGGAACCCTCAGGGACCCAGGAACTCAGCTTCCAAACATCTGCACCTTGACTGGACTCGCCATCCCACCATGGGGGGTGCAGGTGATCGTAAACATGGGTGTGCGTGTGTGTGCACACGGGTGTGCAGTGAAGATCCATGGAGCTGGAGCTGGGAGCTGAGGCTCCTGTTGCACCAGCCACCTTCCCCCGTCCTTTGGCTGCTGAGGGGCAGGAAGTAGGGGATTGGCTCCTCTCCCAAATTTAAGATCAGCTCCTCAGCTAGCTTAGGGTGCATGGCATGGCCCCACCCCCAGATCTGGAACATGGGACTTTGTTCCTGGCAGATCTGTGGCCTTCCCTGCAGAGGACATCTGTGGGCAGTGGCTCAGCCTCCTGGTCCCCTACCGTCCCTGTTTCCCCTGCCAGGTCTCTGGGGCACAGTGTGCAAACCCCCTCCCTAGCTGGGCCCCAGGGAACTTCTGCTGGGTCCAGAGAGCAGGGTTTTATCCACTTTTAGATAATCAGGAGGTCACAATGTGGCATTGGGAGGTGGGGTCAGGGGTTAAGACATTAGTAGCAGGCATCAGGGCTCAAGACACCACCTCCTCCAGCTTCTGGAGCACGGGAGCCTTTCCCTGCAGCAGGGGGTGGGGGTCCTGCTCACCAGAGTAGGTGGTGGTTTCAGGTCTTGTTACCCTCACTCTGTGGAGCTGCCTCTGGGAGCTTCCGCGTCTGCGATTGAAGGGACGCTGGATTGCTTGGGTCAGCTGCTCAGGATCCCCAGGCTGGGCGTGCCTTAGCCAAAGGCAGGGCTGTCAATAACCCTTCCTCACTGGCTACCACCTGCAGCCAGGCTGACATCAGCACCAGTGATAGGCTGGTCAGAGGGATGGGGATGGACTACCACCATCTCTGGGTCACCAGCGGGAGAGCCTGGCCCTGTCTGTGCTACCCAGTGCTGCCTCCAGGCCCATGAGGCCAGTAGGAGAGCATGTGGCACTGGCCCACAAGCTGTCCCTGTCCTGACTTCCAAGCCATGGCCTCTGCCGGCTCCACCTGAAGGAGCCTCCCAGGTCCTCCCCTTCATCACTGAGATGCCACCAACTGTGTCTCCACAATATGCTCCTGCCCACCTGGGCCCCGCATTGTCCGACCCCTGCACACCACACTCACGTCACCACAGTGTGCATCATGTTCGTCCCCATCTATTTATTTAAGCCTTTCTTTGCTTGTAGGGCATTTTGTATGTAGAGCAGTTGAAAACAGAACCTCAGAACTTAACATCTGCCCTGATGTTAAAGTGCTTTTCATGACCACCCTGTTATCTATGTATATGTAAAGTTAAGGAGGAGATCTTAAGTTTACAATTAAAAACTCAGTACTCGGTATTTAATATTCTACTCGAGCTTTATGGAAACCAAATCATGTGCGTGCGTGTGTGTGTGTGTGTGTGTGTGTGTGTGCGCGCGCGCACGCGCACGTGTGTGTGTGTGTGAACTTTGAACCTCCTTCCATGGCCACATCTGGTGACACAAAGCTTTTGATAAGTACCTTCCTGTGGGTCACTCAGCGCCTCGTAGCATCTCATTCAATTGCAAGAATAGAAGCCAGATACAGTGACACATATCTATAGTCCCAGCTAACTGGGGGGCTAAGGCAGGAGAATCACTTGAGCCGGGAAGATTGAGGCTGCAGTAAGCCTGCTGGCCACTGCACTCCAGCCTGGGCGGCAGTGAGACCTTGTCTCAAAAACAAGCAAAAATAAAACAATGGAAGGCAGACAGCAAATCCCTGAGGACACATCACACAGTGTCCTATAGCTAAGGGTCTAGGAAACAAAACAAAAAACTCCAGACCCTTCGGTGTACGAGGATAAGGAGGTTGCAGAAAGGCACTCTGTTGGCAGATGAACAGCTGAAAGTTGGCCGGACCCTCCTGTATGCCTCTGCGCTTGTCCTGTTGCCTGCAGGTTGGGGGGTCTGACCAGGAGGCCACCCACGGCAGGAAGTGAGGCCTATGTGTTATCTTCAGACACAGCTGCCTCTCCCCAGCTCTGTCCCCATAGTTGCCTGCTGGTGGGCGAGGGTCCTCTCCCTGGGGTAAGCACTCCCAGCCCCGTTGATCAGAAACAGGCAGGGAAATTGGACCTGCCACCCAGCCCAGCATGGTGGCTCAATTTGTTGGTTGCGTTGTCTCTTCGTTTTGTTAAGGTTTTTAATAAGTGCGTTTGGCATAATGTCTTTTAATGGGTTTGTAATGTCATAACGGTTTTAGCAGCCTATAACTTTTCAGCTGGTGCTTTTACTTAGGAAAAAAAAAATTTGTAAATACAGAACATTGTTTAAAAGACGTAACCATAGAACATAGCTTCCTGTTTGTGGATTTCCTTTCCTATATATTCAAAGTAAAATGACTTACAGGAGCCATGCTCTGTGTCTTTGTTGTTTCCTTGGTCCCCCTTTCGAGCCATCCCAAAGACAGCTGCCACCCTCCCTGCCATGCCTGTGGGGGTCCCCTCTGTGGCAGGATCTTCAACTGACAGCATGAGGATACAGTCTCCAAATCTGAGTCAGGTGACGTGATGGAAGCCTGAGTCCCCATCGCCCTCCATTGATCATTTTCCTCTGGTCCAGCCTTACCTAGAAGGGAGGGAACCCCATGCTCCATCAGCATATGAGGCTAGAATGACAAGCATGCACCACCATGTCAGTCTAATTTTTCTAAATTTTTTAGATACGGGGGTTTCACCTTGTTGCCCAAGCTGGTCTCGAACTCCTGGACTCAAGTGATCCACCTGCCTTAGCCTCCCAAAGTGCTGGAATTACCAGCGTGAGCCACGTCGCCAAGCCTTATCCATCCTTTTATGGATATTCTTTCCCCTTGCGGCAACTGTAAATGTTGCTTCCCCCTTGTGGCAACTGTGAGTAGTGCTGCTCTGAAAAACGGCCCTGTGAGTTTTGGCTGGAGCAGGTGTTTTCAATTCTCCTGGGCTTTGCCTGTATCTTTACTGTGCACAGACGGGGCCACTCAGCACACACACCAGGTGTGAGGGCCCTCATGCTGCCTCAGTTCCTGAAAGAGACGCAGGTCATCTTAGCCTCGAGCCCAAGGGGCTCAGTTGGATGTGCGACATTTTTTTGTTTTTCTATGTGTTGTTTAGAGAGTCTCACTCTTGCCCAGGCTGGAGTGCAGTGGCACAACCATCACCTGAGCCTCACTGCAGCCTCAAATGCCTGACTCCAGGCGAGCCTCCCAAGTAGCTGGGACTGTAGGTACGTGCTACCATGCCTATTTGTTTTTTTTTTTTTAGACAGTCTTGCATTGTCACCCAAGCTGGAGTACAGTGGCACAATCTCAGCTCACTACAACCTCCACCTCCAAGGTTCAAATGATTCTCCTGCCTCAGCCTCCCAAGTAACTGGGACTACAGGCACCTGCCACCATGCCCAGCTAATTTTTTGTATTTTTTAGTAGAGACGGTTTCACCATGTTTGCCAGGCTGGTCTCGAACTCCTGAGCGCAAGTGATCCTCCCACCTTGGCCTCCCAAAGTGCTGGGATTACAGACGTGAGCCTCCATGTCAGCCCTTTGTGAGTGAGTGAGTTCCCACATGGTGAACACAGCACCCTCACTGTCAATGCCTGGGCTCTCTCGCCCCGTCCCCACCAGCTCAGCCCAGGCAGCCTTTTCACTTAAGGTAGACTCTGCTTATCTTTCCTCATCAGCTTGGATATCATCTCCTCTGGACAGGCAGAGGCCCATCTGGCCCATCTCACACCTCATCAGCATGGGATTCACATTCTTTGCCTGAGCTGGACCAAAGCACAGTGTTAGCGGCCTGCCGTGGGACCGGCCGCCTTTCCAGCAGGCGCGCAGTCCCCAACTGGGAGGTGTGAACCTGCATATGGACAACAGGCCTATCCTGGGTGGGCTATTGTTTCACACAAAGCCTATACCCAGACAGTCACCTTGTCCTGGGCTCCTAGCCGACCAGGGCCACATTGCTCCTCCTGTTGAGTCATTTCCCAGTAGGCTGTGCCATGTGCAGCATCCATGGGACCCTGACTCAGGAAGTAAGGGATCTTCCTTTTCCCACATGTTCTCATGAATGCATGAGAACATGCATCCACTTAGAGGCTGAGGCAGGAGGGAGGCTGAGGCAGGAGGATCGCTTGAGCCCAGGAGGTTGAGGCTGCAGTGAGCTATGATGGTGCCACTGCACTCAAACCTGGGCCACAGTGTGAGACCCTGTCTCTCTCTCTCTTTTTTTTTTTTTGAGACAGAGTCTTGCTCTGTCGCCTGGCTGGAGTGTAGTGGCTGGATCTCGGCTCACTGCAACCTCCACCTCCCAGGTTCAAGTGATTTCCCTGCTTCAGCCTCCTGAGTAGCTGGGATTACAGGCACATGCCACCACACCTGGCTAATTTTTTATATTTTAGTAGAGATGGGTTTTCACCATATTGGCCAGAATGGTCTCAATCTCCTGACCTTGTGATCTGCCTGCCTCAGCCTCCCAAAGTGCTGGATTACAGGTGTGAGCCACCACACCCAGCTGTGAGACCCCGTCTCTAAACAAAACATAGCAAAATAATAAAAAACAAATGGCGACAGGAGCCAGGTATGGTGGAGCACACCTGTAGTCCCAGCTCCTTGGGAGGTGAAGATGGGACAATGGCTCAGGTCCAAAAGTTCAAGACCAGCCTGGGAAACACAGCAAGATCCTGTCTCTATAAAAAATACAACATCCGCCTACAATCCCAGTACTTTGGGAGGCCAAGGCAGGTGTATCACTTGAGGTCAGGAGTTTAAGACCAGAGTGGCCAACATGGCAAAACACCATCTCTACTAAAAATAAAAAAATTAGTTAGATGTGGTGGCAGGCACCTCTAATCCCAGCTACTCTGGAGGTGAGCCAGGAGAATCACTTGAACCCAGGAGGCAGAGAAGGCAGTCACTCAAGATCACGCCATTGCACTCCAGCCTGGGTGACAGAACGAGACTCCATCTTAAAAATAAAATAATCACTCCCGTAAATCCCAGCACTTTGGGAGGCCGAGGCCAGTGGGTCACCTGAGGTCAGGAGGTTGAGACCAGCCTGGCCAACATGGTGAAACCCCGTCTCTACAAAAAATTTTAAAAAGTTAGCTGTGTGTGGTGACAGGCGCTGGTAATCCCAGCTACTTGGGAGGCTGAGGCACGAGAATTGCTTGAAGCCAGGAGTTCAAGGCTGCAGTGAGGCATGATCACACCACAGCACTCCAGCCTGAGGCAGAGGTTTCAGTGAGCCGAGATCATGCCACTGCAGTCCAGCCTGGTCGATAAAGCAAGACTCCTCAAAAAAAAAATTTTTTTTTTCTGAATGGGCAAGATCTGGAAAAAAATTTTTTTTAATTTAAAACTGCCAGGCACAGTGGCAATTTTAGTGTGTGCCTGTAGTCTCAGCTACTCGGGAGGCTGAGGCAGAAGACTCGTTGGAACCCATGAGGCGAAGGCTGCAGTGAGCCAAGATCGCTCCACTGCACTCTAGCCTGGGCAACAGAGAGAGACTCTGTCTCAAAAATAAAAATAAATAGAAAAATCATCCAGGTGTGGTGGTACATGCCGGTAATCCCAGCTACTCAGAAGGCTGAGGCAGGAGAATGGCTTGAACCTGGGAGGTGGAGGTTGCGGTGAGCTGAGATCGCACCATTGCACTCCAGCCTGAGGGACAAGAGTGAGACCCTGTCTCAGAAAAAAAAAAGGAGGCTCGGCTGGGCGCGGTGGCTCACGCCTGTAATCCCAGCACTTTGGGAGGCCGAGGTGGGTGGATCACGAGGTCAAGAGATCGAGACCATCCTGCTCAACATGGTGAAACCCCCGTCTCTACTAAAAATACAAAAAATTAGCTGGGCATGGTGGCGCGTGCCTATAGTCCCAGCTACTCAGGAGGCTGAGGCAGGAGAATTGCCTGAACCCAGAAGGTGGAGGTTGCGCTGAGCCGAGATCGCACCATTGCACTCCAGCCTGGGTAACAAGAGTGAAACTCCGTCTCAAAAAAAAAAAAAAAAGGAGGCTCATCTTGTTTCTCAGGCTGGTCTCAACCTCTCAACCTTCTGGGCTTGAGCGATCCTCCTGCCTCAGCCTCTATAGAGTAGCTGGGACTATAGGCATGAACCACCACACTCACCTAATTTTGTTTTTTGAGACAGGGTCACACTCTGGCACCCAGGCTGGAGTGCAGTGCAATTATACCTCACTGCAGCCTCTAACTCCTGGCTCAAGCAATCCTCCTGCCTCAGCCTACCGAGTAGCTAGACTACTTCAATATTTTTGATAACTTTTTCAAGGATTGAAAAAGTTAGCTATAAGGAAATTAGCTATAAGTACTCTTACAGTGACACTTTGTGAAAAATA